AGATTGCCAGCATATTAAGTGAAAAATGAACACGAGAATCACAAAGCGTTTATTGACTATCTATAGCAAAATTATTTATAAATTCCAGTAAATATTTGCTTTTATTAAAGGTTTTCCATGGTGCCTTGGCAGTAATTTGACAGTGGTTCGCCACACCTCTCCAGGTCTTGATAGATAAGCTTTTCTCGACAGAATGAGTAAAGGGCTTTAGGTAATTGAGCTTAGCCTTTTATCCCAAGAGACATTCTCATTCAGAAAGGACTCCGTTTTCGGACTAGCCTTGGCCTGGGCCTCAATCTCAACAAAATGCAATACGGGCTCACGACTGTGAACAAAGAGCAATTTGTTGCTCCTTCTGCATATAGTATAAGTACCAGTTGATTATAAGGTATAAATATCGTTCAAGGCAGTAAAAAACTCTATTCATATTTTGGTAAAGAATAGCATAATTTAGGCATGCTCATGTAGTACTTCTCCATAGAATATGAAATGGAAGGGATCCGTCTTGCATTTAAAGTAGCAGCCTATTGCAACAATTACTATTATTACTGCTACTACTGCTTTAAAGCCGAATGAGCATGTTAATGGCAACCAGGCAAGGCCGAAATCGCCATCCTGGCTGGATGGGAGCAAACTTTTGACAACTGTTTTAGGAAAAATCTCATAGTATAATGGAACCTCTTCATTGCACCATGGGCAGCCCGAAAAATTGAAATTGTACCTGCCGGGCAATTGTGTAATTATTATCCTTTATAAGAGTTATTTGGTGTTTCAAACTCTAATATACACTAAATTGAAGGACAATGAAAATGTTGTTTATTACCATGTAGCCTTTTGGGATGCTTTGATGTTTGTGTTTGTGATTAGAAGATTATCAAAATAACAAGCTGACTAAAGCTACTTAACAACTCTTGAGAATAACTGTTAAGCTCTCTTGTTTGCCAATTTTCATATCTCAGTTATTAACCCAAGAAGAAATGCAAGCCATGGCTCATGACAGAGGTACCTTTTTTACCTATAATATTGTCCAAATAGCGATAAAATAATGAAATACGCTGAAATTTTCCGATATTTCCGATGAAGCTGGCTGGGATATCGGAGTTCAAATGTAGCTCAGTCTGGAGAACGGCATTGAAGATCGTGTATAAAGCATGAGAGAGCAGATAAGCCGGCTAAGATGAAGAGGGAACCACTTAAAATAAATCAACTAGGCCATGAGATTTTGGTTAACGACCCATCATTGTGAATTGCAGAATATCATTATCCATCATGCTCACTTGTCGGGCCTGCGTCTCTATGATTCGCTGGAAATTGGACAACTCGCAGGACAACTCGAATTGCATGATTATATGAAAGAATGTCACATTCTCCCATCGGCAGCGAAGAAGAAGTATAGGAATGTCAGCCACAATAATTTTGCGAGCAGTTTTAATGATAGTATATCTAATCTGAGGATGGGCCAAGTGAGGCGCATCTGCCTCCATTGGATGAAGACTGAAGTGACTGGAATAACAGCGCAAAGTGTACTGGGCAAAAACACCAGCAGAATGAGATTCGATCACAGCATCGGCCAACCGATCGGGCCTCATACTTGCTCTTGGTCCGAGACGAGGATTGGAGATAAGAAGGACGCAATAGGAATGCATCCATTCCTC